CCCTTATCAATTCCATCCATGTCCCCCTACCCCATCACACCCATGTGTCTCTCTCTCCCTTCTTCCCCAAGTGGCAAGCAGCCTGTTCACCTTACCTAACAATATGCCTCCTTCACACTGAGCGCCGGATAGTAATGTGACTCCCGCCACTCCTACGCTGAGTGCGAGGGGAGGCGCTCTCCAGCTGGCTTAGTCTGTATGCGGTTTCCTTATGGAGCCGAACGCAGCCTGCAAGTCGAAGGGAGCGCAGAAATCACTTGTCAGACTAACAACTGATTTTTGCGTTCCTTGCGGGGGCTGCTTTCAACGACTTTTGCCAACTTGTTAAATGTTAGTTACAAGTTCACGCAAACCAGTGCGTACCGGGTGAATCCCACCACTGGTTATATCTACTAAACAGTGATTTGCATATTTTTGGGGGGAGCAATGGAGTGTCCCTTAACCCTAGTTTAAATGTAATTTGGCATTAACCAATACCTTAAAGACAATGCAATGTTGGGTGACTGAAAATCCTATATCACATACTCAGATGCCAATTTCTTTTACAGGTATGGTGGAGCATGCTTATGTTCAGAATTTCAGTGCAGTAGTACTGCTTTTTTTCTATAACCTGCTCCGGCGTAATGACATGATATTCTATTTCCAATAATAAAACACCAATTTTCCCTTTTTGTATTTTTTTGTATTGTTTTTAAAATAAACTGAGCAGAATGCACACATTTTTTTTCTAGTTTGTTAATTTTAGGAAGTTGCAGCTTCTTGCACATAAGTGATTGCAATATATGTGTTTCCTGTGGCTGGTTCTGCTTCCTCTCTGTGCTGATTGAGAAATCTACCTAGACCATGTACAAAATAAGCATTCATTTGCAATTACTTTCTTGTTTTCCTCTTCGATAGGGTAGGTGCTAGTTGATTTACAGAAATTAAATGTTAATGTTGCCATCTGACATTTCTGCAAAACCCTTTTGCTGAAGCCTTTTTCTTCCTAGAGTCCAATTAACTCTTTGATACTTTGCAATTCCACATTTTGAGCTGTGCAGATACCATAATAAATTTAAAATAATATTCCTAAATAGTATTCAAAAATTCTGCTTTTTAACAGAGCTAATCTTTATATTATTGAAATTGTTTCTTGGCAGATCAAATTCATGCTCTTGCTTTCAGAGGCAAACAACCAAATACAGACAATACCGGAAAGGTGTAACAAAATGCACAACAAAAATTACAGGTATTATATAGATTAAAGGGCTACACCAACCACCAAACAGTGTTTTAGGAAAAGCTTGCTTTTTAATTGGAGTAACTCTTACTGGCTGGACTCCATCACCACCCCATTTAAAATAAATATAAATATAAACAAAATGCATGCAACACAAATACCACATTGTCACTGTAGCCCAATTTTCTTTCTGTGATGTCATGTACCCTCACTGCAGGGGAGGGATGTCACGGTCAGGGCCTGCCTTAGGCCTTTAGGCGCCCTGTGCGTAAAATCTTCACAGCGCCCCCCCCTGGTCATCCATATATGATGTAATGTTTGTGTTGTCTGTGTATGTGATAGTTGTGATGACTGTGTGTGATATGTATGCTATGTGTTGGATGTGTGTGATACTTGTAATGGGTGTATCAACAGTGTGTGATATGCGTGTATTAGTTGTATGTGATATTTGTGCTGGGTTTATTGCCTGTGTTAAAAACATGCATTTAGGCCCAGTGGTGTATCCTGGTTTTGTGCTGCCCTAGTCCAGTGGCTGCCGGTCGGGCTGATGGGCTGGCTGCTGGCGAGGGAGCACTTCCCCTGAGCGGTCTGCTCAGCTCCCTCGCGCGCCGCAGAGTGAGGCTGGGAGGTGAAATATGATGTCATATTCCGGCTCCCAGCCTCAGTCTGAGGCGCGCGAGGGAGTTGAGCAGACCGCTCAGGGGAAGTGCTCCCTTGCCAGCCGCCCGCCCGCCCAGCCCAGCCCAGCATGGCTGTTAGCCGCGAGGCTAACAAGACATTTGCCCTAGGCAAAAGCCGCCCCCTGAAAAATGACGCCCATGGCAAATGCCTTGTTTGCCTCTAGGCTAATACGTCCCTGTTAAGGCCTGTGTGTGAATGCAGGTGTATATATTTTGCTGATGCACATAGTCGCAGGTAGATAGTCACATAAACAGGATTAGGCAGAAACACACAGGTACAGGCAGTAACACACATACACAGTTACAGGTAGATATACACACACAATTACAGGCAGACAGCCACACACACAGGCAGACAGCCACACACACTCAGCCACACATACAGTTTCTCACACACATACAGTCTTACACACACATACTTACATGCAGACAGTCATGCACACACACACACACAGGCAAACATTCACAAACACACACAGGCAGACAGATATACACACAGACACACAGTCATACACACAGACACACACACAGGCAGACAGTCATACACACACAGGCAGACAGTCATGTACACACAGACAGACAGTCACACACACAGACACACACACACAGACAGACAGTCACACACACACACACACACACAGGCAGACAGTAACACACACACACAGGTAGACAGTCACACACACAGGCAGACAGACATACACACACACTGACATGCATACACAAACATACACACACAGTCACACACACACAGGCAGACAGTCACACACACAGGCAGGCAGAGAGACATACACACACACACACACACACAGACAGTCACACTCACACTGACAATCACACATAGATACCTCTGTTCCTTGTGGAGACAGTGCAGCTCCTGGAGACTGTTTGTTGGGGGAAGCAGGGACTCCTTCCTGCTTCCCCTGCAGTAGTTTTCCAGCACCTTTAGCTCCACCCTGTCACACGGAAGTTCCGCCCCTGCCGCAGATTTTCATTTTTCTTTTTAAATTCCGACCGGCAATGTGTGAGCTGTGTCGGCCGCAGGGCGCCTGCTGCTCCATGGTGCCCTGTGCGGCCGCACAGCTCGCACACCCCTAAGGCCGGCTCTGGTCATGGTGGCAGGGCTGAAAGTGGCACAGAAAAGATGAATATGCCTTTTTAAAATGGATATTTAGCTACACTCACTTTCAATTATTTTAAAGGGACACTATAATCACCAAAACAACTTTAGGTTAATGAAGCTGTTTTTGTGTATAGATCATGTCTGAAGTTTCACTGCTCAATTCTCTGCCATTTAGGAGTTAAATCACTTTTGGTCTGGTTTTTGCTCCCCTGACTGTGACTGATAATGAATAACCATGGGCGTTCGCAGGGGGGGGCAAGGGGGGGCACTTGCCCCCCCCCTGGATTTTTCAGCTTGTTCTGATATTTTTCGTGTGAGATTTAAAATGAACTGCAATACCGGCGCCGGCCAGTAGGCGCTGTGTATGGAGAGAGACAGGGATAGGAAGCTGCATCTTATCCCTGCTTCTCTGCTGATTGAAACCGCAGGGGAACAACACATGGAGCCAGAGACAGCTTACAGATCAGGTAAGTAGGGGGAGGGTTTGAGATAGCCTATAGATTGTGGGGGCAGCAGCCTATAGATTGTGGGGGGCAGCCTATAGATTGGGGGGCAGATTGGGGGGCAGCAGCCTATGGGTGGGGGCAGCAGCCTATGGGTGGGGGCGGCAGCCTATAGGTGGGGGGCAGAGGCCTATAGATTGGGGAGCAGGAGCCTATGGGTGGGGGTGGGAGCAGCAGGTGGGGGGGTGGGAGCGGCAGCCTATAGGTGAGAGCAGCAGCCATAGATTTGGGGGCAGCAGCCTATGAATTTGGGGGCAGCAGCCACTTGGAATTTAGGGGCAGCAGCCTATAGTTTGGGGGAGGCGGCAGCCTATAGATTTTAGGGGGCAGCAGCCTATGGAATTTTTAGAGGCAGCAGCCTGGGTACAGGGGGAGGCAGCAGCCTATGGAATTTTTGGGGGAGCAGCAGCAGATTTTGAGGCAGCACATGGGTAGAGAGTAGGCTGAGGGCAGCAACCTGTGGAGTGAGAAGTGAGCTGGGGGCAGCAGCCTATAGATTAGGGGAGTGAGGATGGGGGGGCAGCAGCCTATAGATTAGGGGAGTGAGACTGGGGGGGCAGCCTATAGATTAGGGGAGTGAAACTGGGGGGGCAGCCTATAGATTAGGGAAGTGAGCATAGGTGTGCGCAGCCTATTGCATTAGGGTGTGCACCCTAAAGCACAAACACACGCCATTTGTATATGTATGTATGTGTATATATATATATAAATATATATATATATACACACACACACACACACACACACTGCTGTGTGTGTGTGTGTGAGGGTGCTGGTAGTGTGCTATGTGGGTGACGGTGTTTTTGTGTGTTTGTGAGAGTGCTGTTAGTGTGCTGTGTGTGAGGGTGCTGTTTGTGTGCTGTGTGTGAGGGAACTGGTAGTGTGCTGTGTGTGTGCATGTGTGAGAGGGTGTTTGTGTGTGCGTGTTTGTTCGGGTCCTGTTAGTGTGCTGTTTGTGTGCTGTGTGTGGGTGTTGTGTGTTTGTCAGGGTGCTGTTTGTGTGTGTATGCTGTTTGTTTGTGGGTGCTGTGTGGGTGTTGTGTGTGGGTTTTGTGTGTTTGTGAGGATGCTGTTTTTAAAAAAGATTACCAGAATGGTAATTTAGAGGGTTATAAACGAAGAACTGGAAGTCTAAGAGGAATATTCCTTAACAGTCTATCTGTTTTGATATTTGTAATGTAGATAGACTGTAATGTGGAGCTGGGGGATATGAAGACAGTAGATTATATTATATCATTATATGTACGTGGATGTGAATATGTTTTGTAATTGATAACAGTTCTCTTGCATTATTGTGTTACAATGTATCTTAGAAAGCAAGGCTGTTAGTGTGCTGGGTGTGTGTGGGTGTTGTATGTGTGTGGGTGCTGTGTGTGCGAGGGTGATGTATGTGTGTAGGTGCTGTGTGTGTGTGGGGGTGCTGTTTGTGGGCTGTGTGTGCTGTATGTGTGTAGGTGCTGTGTGTGTGTGTGCTGTATGTTTGGTGGAGGTGGGGGCAGATTAGTTAATATCCCAGTCCTGCTGCCTTCCCTGGTGGTTCAGTTTAGAGTGAACTCTAGCCCGGGTTCTCTGCTGCCTCCCTCCATGCTGCTGTGGACCGGTGAGGTAGAACTTTGATCTCCCCACCGGCCAATGGAGGCTTAGACCAGAGCCGCCGCTCAATCCATTGGCGTACCGCAGGGATTAGGGTGTGCCCAGGCACACCCGACACACCCCGTGCGCACGCCTATGGAAGTGAGGGATGGGGGAGACAGCCTACATGAAGAGTCAGCAAGGAGCAGGAAGGTAAAGGAAGAAAAGGAGAAGGAACAGAAATGAACAGGAAGGGTCAGCAAGGAGCTGGAAGGTAAAGCAGCACAAAGGTAAAGTAGAAGGAGCAGAAAGGGTCAGAAATGAGCTGGAAGGGGCAGAAGGAGCACAAACGTAAAGTAGGAGAATGAGCAGGAAGGGCCTGCAAGGAGCAGGAAGGAGCAGAGAGGGACAGCAAGGAGCACAAAGGTAAAGGAGCAGAAAGAATCAGAAGGAGCACAAAGGTAAAGTATGAGAAAGAGCAGAAAGGGACCGCAAGGAGCACAAAGGTAAAGTAGGAAAGGGAGCAGAAAGGGTCTGCAAGGAGCAGAAAGGGATCAGAATGAGAAAGGAGCAGAAAGGCGCAAAATAAGCAGAAAGTAGCAGAAAGGTAAAAGAGCAGAAGGGGCCAAGGATAGAAAACAGTGTCAGAAGAAAAAAAAAGACTGTCAAATGAAGGAGAGGAAAAGGAGATTGGAGCAGGAAGGACAAATGAAGTGAACCCTCCACTTTATTCTGGACACCACATCATAAGGCTTTGGTACCTGGGCCAGGCAGGGAAACACTGGACCTTCTCATCTCCAAAGGTAAAAAAATATCAGTGTTAATGTGTTCACTTTTATTTACTGAGTGTCGGGAAGCACAGAGTGCCGTTGGGTAGGGGTGTTGCTGATTGGCTAGAGCGGTCAGCTGGCACTCTAAGCCAATCAGTAGCTTCCCATTCATAAAAAAGTTAAAATATTTTATGAACCGGGAACTAGCGATTGGCTTAGAGCGTCAACTGTCCACTCTAGCCAATCAGCGTCACCCATGCCTGACGTCAATCTGCAAATACCACTGAGCGACCTGGAGCTGGAGGAAGGCTTTGGGGTTAAACCATTTGAGAGCGATTTAACTCCTTAAAGGAAAGCTTCCTAGCATCATAGCATTTTCATTTAGGTGAAGTTGTTATGGTGACCAGAATGGTCCTTTAATTTGCTTAAAGGAACACCATAGTGTCAGGAATACAAACATATATTCCTGACACCATAGTTGTGAAAACGCTATTCACCCTGGCTTTATGTGATAATGGCGATGCCCCTTCCCTTTCATGACACTGTCAAAAAGGTACCAACCATGGATGTCATTACAATTATGCCCCCCCCTGGAAAAATTCCTGCGGACGCCCATGCATATGTAGCAAGCTCCGTGAGCGCATTAGGCCCACCCCATAGGACATCATTGCTTCCATGCTTTCCCATGGGGATTTCACTGGTGCAGAGTGTGAAGACGTCCAGAATCATTTAGTAAATCTAGAGTCTGTTAGCATTCATGAAGTTCCTCTAGTGACTGTATGATTGACGACCACTAGAGGCAGTCTTAGTACTGCAAGGTAATTATTGCCAGTGGCGTACATATAGGGGTCGCAGCTGCAACTGGGCCCATCACTCCAGGGGGCCCGGCCACCCTGCGGACCCCTGCGACCAGGTGCCCGCTGCCATGTTTTGTGGGCCCGGCCCGTGCGGCAAACTGCCAGGGACACCGTCCAAGTGCTCCATCGGGTGGCCCATGCTGTCAGGGCCACCCGATGGGTATGGATTTTCAGGGGGCCCGGTCAGCGCTGCGGCGCTTTAACAGCGCGACCGGGCATCCTGTGATGACATCACATGCTGGGAGGAAGTGACTGCCCCGTCACTCCTCCCAGCATACACAGAGCCCGCAAGGTAGGAAGCAGAGGAGGGTGTCAGAGTGGGATCTCTGACTCCTATCAACCTGAGCCACAACTGGACCCCAGGGAAAGTCACCCTTCTAAACCTAAAAGGTAGGAAACAGGAGGGTGACTTAAACATTTTGTATATGTATGTGTGTCTGTCTGTATGTATGTATGTGTCTTTGTGGGGAGGGGGGACGGAAGGCCCCATGGATCAGTTTCGTACCGGGGCCCCATGGATTGTGTGTACACCACTGATCATTGCACTAAGACTCTAAAACTGCAATGATATACATTGCAGGACTAAGTGGGACAGGGATACAATGAGATGAAGTGGTCTGTGTGATTATAGTGTCCCTTTAACAATATCATTAATATGTATAAACATACATATATAAAGGTTTCCAAAATTTAAAATATTTTACACTTTGGCATATTTTTACTTATTTTATGTATTATATATATTTTTATACAGTCATTATTCAATGTTGCTCTTTTTGATTGATTGATTGATTGATTGATTAATTGATTGATTAATTTATTTATAGTATGATTTATGTTAGTAAATGTGATATTGAAACCCTGTTATTCTGCCAATTTATTCTTTCATCTTAAATGTTTATAAACTTGAGTGCATGTTAATGCAAGTCACAAGTGAGCAACAAATCTACAGTTTTCAGGGTTATTCATCAAAAACTAGGTACTGTGGAAAACTGACAAGAAAATTGCAGCTGAATTGCAGAAAATCTTAAACTCGTTTTAAACTAGTTTTCAGCTACCATTTTAGTTTCCAGTCTATTTTCCACAATTTCTAGCTTAATGATTAAACACCCTCATATTTTTACCATTTGCATGCTATATTACTAAGTTACATCAATGGAACTAGACATAGGAAATATGTATTTTTCTGAAATGTTGAAAGTCACTAGAACGTTAGTCAGCTATAAGTGACTGTTTTGCAAGGTGTATGGACATCATATCAATATATATAATGCATTTAGGGTCTTGGTTCTCTCATATACTGTTATACGAGGTATGATCTCTGTGTTGCAAATACTGTTTCACTAAAGATCTCAGCTGTGAATGCTAGTTATTCTATATTTAAACATTAATCCTGCTTAACCATACACTGTTGACAACACACCCATAGCAATCCCCTTTGGACATTCAGTAAGTAATCCCTGCCCTCTTCAAACACATTCATGAAGTCTGCTTCGACTCACAGCCATCTGTTTGAGTGGCATTTTGCCCATTCCTCAGATGGCTAAATTTTGCTTTGGGGTATAGGTGACAGTCAGTGAGGGGACTGAATAGACAGCAAGGAAATCTTTACACATATTTTCGTCTCAGCAGGAGGGCCATATTTCTGCCAGTTTCAGCAGCTTTGTCACTTAAAACGGAGATCACAGAAATATCTCTCTGCCAGTTGGACCAGATATGACAATAAAAAAATGACATGTTCATGAATTGGAAAAGTAATATCCAAACACATTGTAGCTGGATTTGTTATTTTATTCCAACTTTGCTGTTTTGGCCTCAAGTACTTAGTCCACTCACCACAACTAATTCTTCAGTTAATTGAACAAGAGCAGGTTATTCAATAAAATGTGTGAATTCAAAGTTAATTTCAAATTTAAGGTTTGATAGCCAAACTTGAAAAATTCTCTCAGTCAACAATGCTTTCAGTTTGGCGAGTCACTTGGAATTCTCACTTTGGTGAATAACCCTGCAAATCTTTTAGAACACTGCAGACATATATAAATGCAATGGAAATAAATCACATATAAGATGGTGTTTTATAAATAGTATTAAGTATAATAATTTACAATGGAAATAACAAGCATGCATATATTACCTTGACACATTCACTTGCCTGAAATTAAATTGACAAAAATAAAAACTTGGTATTTTAGGCTTGTATAAAATCACTTTACATATTAAGATGTAGCTCAGCTAAACTTCTATAATCGTCTATTTTCTACCCAATATATACTTTATCTTACCCTTTTACACCAACATATCTTACAGATATGTGTGATGTATTAATGTTTGAATATGTGAAATGTTTGTAGATGCTCATAAATACATCTAATGCAGTGGTCCTCAAACTCCGGCCCCCCAGATGTTGTTGAACTACAACTCCCATGATTCTTTGAATTACATAGATAGCCTGAGAATCATGTTGTAGTTCAGCAACATCTGGGGGGCCGGAGTTTGAGGACCCCTGGTCTAATGTGTTCACATGTGTGCAGTGTTTAGTTCTGTGTATAATTTATATACATAGAATTTGTAAAATGTATCAACTATTTTTCCAGCTCAGTTATTTTTGCATACAATATATCATTCCCTTATATCTTCTCCAAAATTCCCAGTTTAGTGAATAAATCTGTATCTTCTGGAAAAAGGATGTGAACAAGTTATGGCA